AAAAAACAATCTTGGGGGTTTACAACTGGGTGGGCTAGCTGCACTTGTCATGTTCCCCCACCCACAACTTCTTGGACCCCCACCCCCCACCTTTTGATATACCTGGATCTGCCTCTGCCTTTATCCAAAGCTTTTTCAAAATCAACAGAGCAAATGTACAAACTTCTATGGACCTCTAAATGTTACCCTTTTCACTCAAAATTCTCAAAACAAGTATATCTTCTCTAGTTACTTTTCCCTTTCTAAATCCATTTTGATCTTCAGAGAACTCACTTCTATTCTAACTTTATTCTATTTAAAATTATGTTTAATAAAACTTTTCAGGCATGATTTATTGATTAATATGGATTTACATTTGCATAAGTAAACCCTCACACTTTCGGACCTCTCTGATCCGGATTTTGGTTGGTCCGGAAGACGTCATATCCGGTCACTCTCTCTCAGTCTGTATGTCACGTTTACTCTCCCACTGTTAAAATGAACCCTGTCTGTATCTCACGCCACTACTCACCGCGTACCATTTATTGAGTAATACACTAATACCCCCTGTATAATTATTAGTGTTGTTGGTGTTATTACTGTATTATCATTATTGTACAGGTATTATTATTTAATACCATTATTACTATTATTATTAATACCTTATTATTGTTACTGTATTGTTATTACCAAAACAGTCCATGTACAACACAATACTGTATTATGATTAGCGTTAATGCGCCTCCATCACTCGGTTTATTCTGACATTTGCCACATCTAGACGCCATCTCCCTCCTAATTGTACAAAAGTGCGAAAGTTTACTGTAATACATAGTATACAATATATAAATATCAATTTGGTAATACCTGTACTATTATGAGGACCCTTGCATTAATAAAGGTTTATCGAAATAATGTAATATTAATTATAAATCCGATCATTATGTGGGAGACATCCCGAGAACAGTAGCCGCAGCTGCTCTGCCCGAGAAGATTTCCCAGTTCCCACACCCGGTTGGCTGAACTCTATCTATCTATGGCTCTGAGACCTGCGGGGTAACTTCGAACACTATAAATATTTTCTTTATAAAAAACATATGCCGTTTCCTGAATTTCTGTTGACATGTATGGATAACTCATTAGTTCACACACAAAGAGCATACTTAACATATTTTTTAAACTTCAAACTTAAACTGCAGCTACAAAAACTCAAACACTGTTTGTATACAGTAAAGAATAAAATTCAAAATAGACAAAGTCATCATTAAATCAAAATGGACTTAGAAAGGGAAAAGAAACTAGAGAAGCTATACAGTACAGTACTTGGTTTGAGAATTTTGAGTGAAAGAGCTTTAGAGGTTCAAAGAAATTTGTAATTATACTGAATTTGCTTTGTTGATTTTGAAAAAGCTTTTGATAAGGTGAAACAATAAATTTATAGAGGTCTTGGAAAAAATAGGCATTAATGAAGGAGATATTAGAATTATAAATCATCTTTACTGGCAACAGGAGGCTGCAGTGTTAGTAAATAAAGAACTTTCTAATTGGTTCAAAGTTAGACAAGGAGTAAGACAAGGCTGTGTTCTATCTCCAACAATGTATAATTAATATATATTCAGAATTCATAATGAGAGAAGCTATAAGTAACAATGAATAAATAAGAGTTAATGGGAAAGTATAATATCAAGCACACAGGTACACTATGCAAATGATACTGCTCTTATCACAGATAGAGAAGAGGTGTTAGAAAAACTGTTTAACAGGTTAGTGGAAGAGGGTGAGAAATATGAGTTAAATGTTAATGCTGTAAAGATGAAAGTAATGGTGTTTCCAAATTGGAAATACTTCAAGTTTTAAAATAACAATTAAGGTTGGCAACAGGGAACTTAATTAAGTGGAATTTTTTTTTGTGTACAGGTATTTGGGAAGTACCATTAGCCATGATGATAAACATGCAAAAGATATCATAACAAGAATAGGTCAAGCAATAACAGCATTTAATAACCTAAAACCTACTAAAATGGGACATCAACTTCAATTTGAGAAAAAGGCTGCTGAAAGAATATATATGGTCAAGACTGTTGTACAGTATAGGTCAGTAGCATGGACACTTTCAGTCAATACCAGAAAGATTGGAGGCCTTTAAAATATGGTGAATGTTAAAAATAAATTACACTGACAAGAAAACAAATGAAGTACTAAGGTTAACAAAAACTCCGAGAAATACTTGAAATGTGAAGAAAAAACAAATATGCGATACTTTGGTCATATAATTTGGGAGGTCAGGAGGGCCAGAAGGCAGAGACTGGAATAGATGAATTAAATAAAAAAACTGCTGGATCCCCAGAGATATAACAAATCTTAACAGATTGGTAAAAACTGCCCCAAAACGTTTACAGTGGAGGAATGTGGTCACCGATCTTAAGATATGCAGACGTTACTGTACTCTGATTAACAGTCCAAACACAAGCGGACACCACGTTTACAGTTAAATTGTAGACATGCTAGTGGGCAATCCTAAAGCTAAGCAACCAAATGCTTCCCAGTGAACTTTCCATAATAACTGACCTGTAAATAACAAAATAACATCCAAACCAATATACTGAACTTAAAATAATGCCCTTCCATCCAAGGATAGGTATATGTATATGTTACGTTAGGTTTATTAGATTTGGTAAGGTCTAGTTGGTAATTTTATCTTATTTAAGATCATTTGTTGCTGTTTACTGGAGATCATTTGTGGGTAAGATTTCATGCTGTTCAGATATGACACTCTCCTGGACAAACTCACCAAGCTAATACAGTACCTGCGTGGTAATATGAAAATTACTGTAAACCTTGTAATTTGTTAGTCTAGAAAGAATTTAAAATCATCTTTAAATTTTTTTTAAAAAGGGTGACAGTGGCATGGCTGCTATGTAGGTTCATGATCAGAATGAAAAAATCAGAAAAACAAAGAAATAAAGTTGCAATTCCTCTAACTTTTTTTTTATTCCAGACGTAATGAAGGTAATGTATGAGAACACCGCTACCATCAGAAAAGTTTACAGATGTTTCATTTTTTCACAATATGTTCTTATCAATATACAGTAGTAAGAAATCTTAATGAGGCGACATTTACTAGAACCTGACCGAACCATCTGAAGAAACATACATAACCTTACCTAACTTCCCAAGGACCCCCTGCCACATTAAACATAAAATACAGTACTTATTTTAATATCTGGTACCATACCAATGAAAGCGACTTTGTTGAAGTGTCATGGTGAATTTTTAAATTTTTTCTGGACATGCGAGTACACTTGGACCAAGTGGGTTGGCTGTAAACAAATAGCAGACGACAACATATGCTGACTTGGCAGATTTTTCGGTAAAGGTTAACGAAACTGTTATCACCCGAAGGAAATGTGCAATTTGGTTTAAATTTTTGGTACACACTATTAACATGATATTAAACACAGAAATGGAAACAATAATGCATAGAACCTGACCTGACAACCCAGGGTTTGTTAGGGCCTGATTATTCGCGATAAGAACAATCAGAAAAATGCAGGTCAAACATGTAAACAAGACGCTCTAACACATAATCAGCACATGATGTACAAACTATAGATGATATAAAGAGAACTTAAGTGGTATATTCGTAATTCTAAACATAATAAGGATGCATAAATATTTTATTAAAAGGATTAGGAATAACGGAACACAATTTATACAATTGGAGAGGAAGAAATGATTGTAGAGTTTGAAATGCGTTTTTAATGCCATAACATCCATGTTCACCGCATTTTTACCCCGTAATTTCCCTCATCTTTCGTGCCCTGCCCACTAACAGGGAAATTAAGATCGTAGGATAGAGTAATTTAAAAAAATTATAATAGAAAGTTGTCGTTTCTTTTAATATATACGTACAGTCCTTAAGATCATCAAAACGATAAGTAGTATAGCAAAAATAAAGAAAATCAACAAACAACTTCTAATGATAACAGTTTCATAAGCATTTACAGATTTTTCAGAGAAGTATTTATGGTAAATAATTAGTTTCTTCTCTTACAAAGGACATATACTTCATTTTAGTGTCACATGATCAGTTTTTCACTGTGTTTTATCCTGCAATTTCCCTCTTCTTACATGCCCTGCCCACTACAGATGATTTATGATTGTAAATTGAGAACAACTAAAATATGTAAATATATATATATTTTTTTTTAATTAAAATACCAATTTATAGCCACTTTTAAAGTATTTATTATAATGATAAGAAAATCTGTATGAAAAAAATTAAAGAAATCCAACAACTCCTTCTGGTGGTGGTGGTTTCCTCATAAATTACTGTAATGAACCAGTTTTCTGCAATAGAGTTTTCAAAAGTTGCTTCTTTCCATGAAAGTTGTGTACAGTATTCCCCAGAATAATAACCTTTGTCAGTCGCATTGCAGGAATTTTTGGTGGATGTGGGGGGAGGCAAAGTCCCCAAATTTCTGACACAGTGTTTATCAATCTTCTATCTCGTGAAGCAGAACAGTTTACAGGCAACACAAAGAATGTGATAATACACCCGCATCAATAGCATTATACAAAAGCAGTGTAGGAGTTTATGGCCAGAGAGTTGATTGACAGTCAAAGACTGACACACTCAACCACCACGTGCAGTAAAGGTGTGCTGATTTTGATACCACTTTGCATTGCAGGTGTGATAAACTGAATCAATACATGCAGTAGGTCGTTCACTCACACATCTTATTTTCTGAGAGGGAGAAATATTCAGACAATCCTTTCTGAGGCTTGGCGGGGGTGATTGTTTCCCCAGCACCCCTCTACTTTTTTACTTTTATCCTCTTCACCACTGATCAGCTCATTAGCCACTTGAGCGGTCGGTCACATCTCTGTTACGCACTGTCGGCAAGTACTGGACATGTACTGGCTACGCCAGTGAGCTTTGTCCCTGAAATATGAACCACTTTCAGCAATCTATGGCAAGAAACAGCATACTGGAACACACGCCCACACCATACACTCACCTTGGTCTTGGGGTGCACGTCCTTCGGAGAGGTTGCATCTAGGTTGTCTGAGGATGAGCTGGCACTCGACTGGACACACTTATTGTCCAGGAGGTGGTCGCTGGATTGTGTTGGCGACTGTGAGGGCGACTCGAGGGCCACACGCTGGTATATACCTTCCTCCAGCATGAAGGCAGCAATGTAGGGGTAGCTTCGTCACCTTCACCTGGGCAAGTCCTGGAAACCTTCACTTAGGCAGGTCGTGGACACCTTCACCTGGACAGGTCTTGGATACCTTCAACTGCACAGGTCATGAACACCTTTATCTGGACAGGCTGTGGACACATTTACCAGTACAGGTCGTGGACACCTTCACCGATATAGGTACTGGACACCTTCACCTAGACATGTCCTGGACACTACCACCTTGAAAAACACGAACACTCACACCAACCCCAGACCACCTCCACACGATGCTCATTTTACCCCACACAGACTCACGGTCGCCTCCCCTGGCTCACCACACTACGGTCTTCACCCGAGAGACGCCACCATAAACTTGAACAAAATATCCATCGAGTTCAGGTGAGGAATGACATGTTTGACACCAGCAAAGCTTTCCTTCTTCGGCAGCTCAGGGTGTGTTCACCAGCCACTGGGTAAGTCAGGGTCGCGCACCAGGCGTCCCTCTCAGCACACCCGCAACGCCCTCAACCTCAACCGATATTCATTATATTTTTACATTTCTGTTTCCTTGACGAAATTGTAGTTTACAAAGTAAGGATTTACACCAATAATATTAGGTAGAAGGCAACTAATGGCCTCTCAACTAAGGTCACGTACTGGCTGGCAGTGCCACCTGTTGGCCGTCAAGTTCCACTGCTTCACCACCTGGAAATACTGACGATAGGCCAGATAAACACCATATTTTGTTTAACTTTTTTTTATGTATTAATTAGTCATTTACATCACTTACCAGCTTACTAGCCTCAACAAAATATCAAATTCACGATTCCAAAAATAAAACTATGTGTTTATCAAATACTAATCACATAGGGACTTGGACTATAATGTAAAGGTATGCTTTAAAGGAGACACCCCAGGTGAGGACACAGAGAACGGCGGGGTCACACTGGGTATTGTCACCCAGCAAAAGAAACTGACATCGATAATTATGAGAACTACCGGATGGTGGTTTTATTACAGCCGTAATTGTTATGATTCTCACTCTACCGCTTGCCTTCTGTCTTTAAGATATATTATATTTCCAATTTTGAGTTGACTGCTGATGCATGGAATTATTTACTTTCTTTTTTTATAAATGCCTCATCTAGAAATTACTAAAAACATGTATGAGATACATAGAGTTAATCTCGCACAAATTCAACTGTATGGTAACTGGTAAATTCTCTATAAACAGATATATTTGTTTATTTCCTTCATTATTTTTTATTTATCTTTTTTTTTTTTGCTGGGATTAGCCCACCAGGGCACAGGTCACTGACCCACATCGGGGCCTGGGGGGCGAAAATGTAATAATAATAATAATAATGATGATGATGATGATGATGATGATGATGATGATGATGATAATAATAATAGTAATAGTAATAGTAATAATAATAATAATTATAATATTTCAGATAAATGAAAAAATAAATAAATAAAAAACAAAAGTAATAAAATAATAACAATGATAATAATAATAATAATAATAATAATAATAATAATAATAACACTGCATTAATAATAATAATAATAATAATAATAATAAATAAATAAAAAAGATCAAGTGCGAGAAACAATATATGTATGTTGTGTTGTCAATGGAAAGAGAAACAATTGAGACCTGCAATTGTGTGTAAATGAGGCAGAAAGTCAGATCAGCAACCTGGGACTTGGTCACAATTTCTGTGATGCCCTATGGCAGTGTAGTGGCTACTCTCCCTACAACTTCCAACTAAGCTCCGGCCGCACTCCGACCAGCCAATCAGCGTACAGCCAGCTACGCCGAGAGACTATGTCTATGCAGAGGACGTAGGGGTACGATCGCCGACCTAGTCTCGACCATCAACCTCCAGTTCAAGATCAGAGCGTTTCAAACCTTACGCTTGAGCCGCTGTGATTGGTCATCTCGCTACGCGCACCCCAGATCCTGATCCTGGTAAATTGTATAAATACGGCCACGCCTGCCCAGGGCTGACATTATACTAATAAACAGTCACGGTGAGACAGAAAACAACAACATAAAACTCTTTAACTATTATGTAAACCAAAGAAATAAATCGGGCGAGAAAAATGACGGAGTAGCGATAGCGGTTAAAAGAAACTTAAAATTTAAACTAATTGATGACTTCCAGGATGAATTTCTAGCAATAAAAATAAATACAACTCAAAGGAGACGTAATTATTGCTAATACTTATCTCCCACCGAGACGACCCTACTTACCTATAGAAGACCTATTAAAATTGGCTAACAATAGTCATCCGATGTACATCTTAGGAGACTTTAACGCCAGACATAGGATTTTTGACAATACAAATAATAACGTCGTGGGAAACGCCCTTAATCAATTAATAAATTTAGGGAAAATCAATCATCTGGGACCTAACTTTCCAACCTGGAGAAATCACAATACACAATCGACACCAGACAAAATTTTTACCAACAACAAAGCCTTTTTCAATTACCATATAATACAGGGACCTCTTACAGGCAGTGACCATCTGCCAATTATACTAACACTGTCAACAAGCCCCATACAGATACCAATAAAAAAGAGACTGAAAATGAGTAAAACAGACTGGGACAGCTTCAAAGACGACTTAAGTAATCACCACTCGATTAACCTACAAGGGAAAACAACAGAAGATATAGACTCAGAAATGGACAGAACTGCACTCAGCAATAAAACATCTATAACCAAACACACTCCTACTTCACTTTAAGAACATTACCCAACAACAGACTGCCAGAAGAAGTTAAATTAATCCAGACCTATTACAATGAAATAAAGCAGGTATGTGGAAGGAACACGGCAGTAACAGATGACTATATACGTTGAATATTTACTACAGATAAAATTAAGAGACGCGCGTAACAAGGAAGCAAACGTAAAAAATGGAATGATAAGTATAATGGCGGCTGACATGACTAAAGACACAAAAACATTTTTGGACTATAAACAAGATGATGGGGCACAACAAGCAAAAAACACCCATATTTATTAAAGGCCAAAATGGAACAAAATTATTATTGCGAGAAAATGAACAAGAGTCAGCATTCAAAGGGAATGGGTAGAAGTTTTAAAATATCAGATGGGGAAAATGAAGATTTTGATAGTGAACACGAAAGAAAGGATAGAAAGAAAGAAATGGGGAAGACAAATGCATAGAATCACCCAAGGCAATATATAGACTATAACTTATTACCTAATAATCAAATAATAACCATGGGAGAAATGATGCGCACAAATACCTTGAGAAATTTAAGGAAAAAAGCCCCTGGGCTCCTGGGTGATACACAGAAATATGATCATGAATCTACAAAACATTTAAATACACTATTAAACATTTATAACGCATGCTTAATAACTGGTTACTTTCAGATTAAACTAAAATATGCTAAAATGATATTTATTCTAAAGGGTAAGGACAATAAGGAAATATTGAAACTACAGGCCAATATCTTTATTAGAAATTACCGGGAAACTATTAAAATAATGAAATTCAAAAGACTTATAACCTTTTAACACAACATGGAAAAGCTAACAACAGACAACATGGATTTATGCCCAATAGAAATACCTAACTGCAATAGCTATAGTAACGGGAAATAATTGCAATAGAAAAAGCAAGGGTAACCAGATCAATATAATTTTAAGGGATGTTTCTAAGGCTTTTGATAAAGTTTGGCATTTGACGAAATGTAAAATATTAAAACTGGGACTTAACGAATACTTACTTCAGAATATTGTGTAACTATTTGGAATGATAGGAGGCACAAATTCAAATTGGAAACTTTTAGGAACTATGTTTAATCTTGAAATTGGGTACCTCCAAGAGGATGCCTTTCTCCAACACCATATACAATTTATCACTTCAGACACACCTCAACCTACCCCCTTTAGTGAATATGTAATGTTTGCTGATATTACTCAAATAATTATCATACCCAGGAAAATCAACTCAATTTATGGCACTCTACACGGTAAGAGCGATAAAAAACATAAATGATTTTTGCGAAAAATGGAAAATCAGGACAAATAAGAACAAATTCAAGATAATACCAATAGCCAAGATTAAAACAAGTCCGGTAATAGTCGACCAGGAACTAGCACCCCTTACAACACTGAAGGTGGGATGCTTGGTTAAAACTAACAAAAGAGGATATATAACATACTTAAAAGATAAAGAACGACAGGCAAGAATAAGATTATCAAAAATAAAACAGCACAGAACCTTAGCATTAATAACAAAGAAAGATTTATATTGCCGCTTGTCCGTCGGTATGGACTACCCACCCATCCCATTGAACACCCATAGTAAAACGTGCATTAAAAGGTTACAAACAGTACAAAATATAGCCCTCAGATTTATATATAACATAAAATATACAGACCACATCAATAATGAACAGCTACACAAGAGAGCAAACCTCTTAGCAATCAATGTAGATATACACAACAAAGCTGTAAATATTTGGAAAAAAGTGACTGAACTTAACACAGAAACATATCAAAACTGGATAAATAATATAGACAACGAAGGATTCCAAGAACACAGTTGGTTTAAATCAGCCAGGAAGAAAGTAATTGAACCATCTCCTGCCCCAATATACATATAAAACATTAATAGAGAGAATAAAAGATGAGAGTGACCTACCAGCTCCACAAGAACCTGGTAGGCCTCTCCATACAGTGTACCTTTAGACTAACATAACTAATATTTAACATTTAACATTTAACATTTAACATTTAACATTTAACATTGAACTAACATCTTAGTAAGAAAAAAAAAAAAAATCTTGACTACCCTCCAGCTACACAAGGACCTGGGCAGGCTCACTAACTCAAAAAAAAAAAAAAAAAAAAAAAAAAAAAAAAAAAATATATATATATATATATATATATATATATATATATATATATATATATATATATATATATATATATATATATATATATATATATATATATATATATATATATATATATATATATATATATATGTATACTAATATGTGTGTGATTACCCTCCCAGCTATATCAGCCAGGAAGAAGTAATTGAACCACCTCCTGCCTCAACATACACATTTCTACATAAAACATTACTAGAGGAATAAAGATGAGAGTGACCAGCCAGCTCCACTAAGAACCTGGCAGTCCTCTCCATACAGTGTACCTTTAGACTAACACAACTAACACTTAACTAACACCTCAAAAAAAAAAAAAAAAAAAAAAAAAAAATGAAACTGCCCTCCCAGTTACACACAAGGACCTGGGCTCCTTGCTCCAAGCAATAACAAAAATAATAATAATAGCAGCACATTATAAATAAGCCAATATTAATACAAGGTCTGACGACCCAAGGGAGCAGAACAAAGACAAAACACCAATAAGAAAGATGAAGCGATCTGGTTGAGCCCAGATTCTTTCTACTCCTACTGTATTTCAGTTTCACCACTTTTTCTTCAATTCCTAATAATCTTCTATCACCTCTTAACTAATGACTTCGTATCGTATCGGGAGGACATCCTACACTCAGCGACTGGACCAGCAACATCTCTCTCAGCTCCTCACCTAGTCACTCCTAAGCACTGCGCTGTACAACAATATATATACAGGAAGCGCATCGTGAGTT